ATGTTAGTTTTCACCGGTGTACATTTCAATATGCACAAAATCTTGAGTGCATTCAACCCTCACATCTCACTATGCATGAAAACCTGTGTTGATGGGAACGCGAACCTTTTTTGGAGACCATGTTTAACACATATCATGGGTTGTCTCTTGGGTAGCTTTATTGCCTGGCGACCCTCCACACAAGGGTTTCAATGTCTGGAGACAAAACTTTCAGAGCCTGGATTGACACCCCTAGGAATAAACCTAGGACGCACGAACTTTGCAACAACAAGCAATTGGTTGCCTTGATTTGTCAAATTATGTGGCCGCTACTGCCTGCTTTGCAAAGCACTCAGCGCAGTGAAAGTGACTTACAAAACTCAAGACCCTTCGTGCTTCTAGATTCTAGGGGCTAGATTCTACACCATCTCAGACCGTGACTACACTGACCGCACCTGAGCATGAATTTGTTGCAATTCGCTAATGGGGGTGACTGGAGTGGCCAGATTCTGACTTAACTCTTCAAACAAGGAGGACGTGCAATGCAATCAAAGAAAACTCTTAATATATTATATATGTTCATCCCTATCAATTGGGACTTGGACCCTTAAAAAATTCACATCAAAAACCATATCCAAAATTGTATCGCAAAAAGGACACCTACCAAAATCAATATCCAAATCCATATCCAAAATTGTATCATCCCATAGAACCATATCATATCACCTTTTCATATCATAAACCATATCAAAACCATAAAGAAACATATTTTCAAAACCATTGAACCTTAGGCTTTTTTATATCCTAACCTTGGTGTCCTCTGGTTTTTCTCTTTTCTTTACCGTTGTCCTCCTCTTGTCTTCCTCTTGACCTCTTCTTGTCCTCCACGTGTCCCCCTGTTGTCCTTTTGTTGACACCAGCTTGGCGTTATGGCTGTCAACCAGTCTCCAGACTCCAGACCTTGTCCTCATGCTGTTGTCCTGGCCTTTTCCTCCTCTTGTCCTCTTCTTCTCTTCTTGTTGTCATCGTCCTCCTGTTGCCCCCTTGTTGTCCTTCTGCTGGTGTCCAGATGACAGCGTGGCAGCTTGTAGACTCAGACATGACACTATGACCGCGCGCGCGCAGCACCGCCCCAAGCGCAAGCAATTGGCCAAGGCCCCACGCGAGAAAGCAGTTGCGCGTGCGCAAGCCTTGTGTGGCGCGTAGTGGGAAAGTGCTCGCGGGCAAGCGCAAAGGCCGCAGTACCGCAGCATGGCCACGTGGCAGCCTGTCAGCGTGCAAATATGCCAACATGCGAGCGTGCGCTAGAAAGCAGTGAGGCACTAGTAAGATAACTCCAGAAAGCAACCCCAAAACCCGATGTCTTCTCGTTGTCCTCCTGTTCCCTCTTCTTGCTGGGTTCTTTCGTAGGAAAAGAAGCTGGCCACAGTGTCAGGCCACGCCGGCGATCCCCGGATCCTCCTCATGTTCTTCTATTGTCTTCTTGTTGTCCTTCTTCAGGTGTTCATTGGCCTCGGTTGCCAGCCTATCTCCGGTCGTCGTCCTCCCGTCGTTGTCTTGCCTTTCTCTTGTCCTCTCTTCCTCTTCTCCTCCTGTTCTCCTCTTGGCGTGCTCCCCTCATGTTGTCCTGTTGTCCTTTTGGCGTTGTCCAGTCACAGCTTGTCCTTGTATTGTCCTTTTGGTGTGTTCGTGTTGTTTTCCTTTCCTTATCCTTTTATCCTCTGTTCTCCTCCTCATGTCCTCCTCTGGTCTTTCTGTTGTCCTCCTGCTGTCGTGCTGTTCACGTTGCTTTCCGCGGGGTCTGCGGCCATCCAGCACCACAACAACAACCGTTCTTGCCGGCTAAGCTGTTTGGGGTCTATGCTGCTCTAACTTCAATTTTTGTATGCCTTGCCTATGGCAGACAAGGAACATCGACTTCGAAGTCGCAGGCGCAGTGGAACTAGTCATGTAGATTCCCTTGCTGCTGTGCCTGCTGCCCCATGTTCTCTCCGACAAATTCGGTCTTCACCAACCGAAATTCCATCTCTTTTGTACACTACGAACCCAGACTGCGACTACGGTGACCTCAACGTCTACAAGTCAGGCTTCGGCCCTGGCTGGCACGTGTGTGGATTTGATGGTTTGGGTGCTGTCATTTGCAAGGAATGCGTTGTTGGAAAACACATATTTCTATTTCTAGTGCCTCGCATATGGCAGACTAGCTCGACAACATTCAGTGGAACATCGACTTCGAAGTCGGAGGCGCAGTGGAACTAGTCATGTAGATTCCCTGCTGTTGTGCCTGCAGAGATTTTGCGAGGAATGCGTTGTCGGAATAAACACACACATATATCATATATATATATATATTATATATATATATTTTTTTTTAAAATGCCTCGCCTATGGCAGACTAGCTCGACAACATTCAGTGGAACATCGACTTCGAAG